GGAGGTCTTTAATAGGAGATTGGATAATTCATGGAGGACAGGACTTGAAGGTTTAATGTTATCTGTGATTTGGGAGCCTCCAAAATCAGTTGCAGGGAAACAGCAGCAGGAAAGTAGTATGTCTTCATCTCCTACTCATGAGCACCCAAGAGGCATCTGATTGGCCACTGTGAAAAAACGGTGGATTAAGATGGACATTGACTTGATCTAGGAGGCATGTTCTTATGTTTGGTACATTAAAAATTAATTATATTTTCTTCTTAAAACCAGTTGCTTGATTTTCTTTACATTTTTCTTATTTGGATATTAAAGTAGCTTTCTGTGTGGTATTCCACTATCTTCCAAATCAGTATCAAGCCATACAGTAGACAATAGTTGCCTTATAACAAGCCACAATAATGTCAGAACGATAATATATATGCCATTACATCATTATATAATGGCATGTGTTTATCATTCTGACAGCATAATCACATCACATAAATGATGTGATTATGTAATTGTATCCTGATATCTGATGCAAATACATAAGATGTGTCATTTGTGTGATGCCACAGCACACAAGCTATTATTCCCCCTCCTTCATGGACACTTATGGTTTAGATCAATCCTGTAGGTTTCCAGATAACATTTGTCTTATGCTTTCTACTTCTTTATCAAGGTCTAATTCCTCCATCTTTTAATCTCTGTGGTATTTTTAAGCCCTAAAGTTCTTTGTGTATGTTTTGTTCCAGTGAAAGGTTTTTACAGCATATGCAGAAAGAGCAATGAAGCTCCATCAACCATTATGGAAGCAGACACATGCTTGTATAAAGGGCTCTGTTTTATTCTGCTCCCCAGTATGGCATGCTAACCTCCAAACCATCAGAAGAAGTTTGGACATAGGTGTGGGAGACAAGCATAGATATATGCTGTTCAACTGCAAATGGACACAGCAGGACAAGAATCCATTATTCAGTTATTGAATACCTGAGATCATAGCCTAAAAAAGCTCAAGCCCAACCCCCCATGGAAGCCCTTCTTAGGATTTCAAACTTTATTTTAAAATAAGTATCCACCAACATATAGCCCTCTTCCTGCCTGCCAATAAAGCTGTCTGGTGTCCATTCCAATGCACAGAAAACAAAGCTCAGTCTGCTGGAAAGGGAGTTGCATGAGTTTGAAGTCTGATAGCACTGAGATCTGAAACAAATCTTTTTTTTTTTTTTCAGCATAGCTGTAGCATTTCAGCAAAAACTTCCAAGCAATGTCAAGAGGTGAATTCAAAGTTCTGAAAGCAAGAAGAGGTTTTTCTGCCTCTTGAGACTGGTCAGATGGCCCTCTTCTTTGAAGGCCATGTGAACCTCTAGATTACATGCTTGTGTTGGGAATACAGTGTAGTGCAAGCAGAGGAACCAAGGGGTGCCATTTGTCATCAGTAAAGTGATCAACACTTTCCAGCCAGCATCTGTGACATTTATGCTATTGCTTTCTATGGACTACTTCAAATTGAGGAAAACAGTCTGAAAACTGGAGGAAGGTGAATATCTTTGCCATGAGTTGGGGAGATGCTGCATTTTAAATGCTAGGCAAACTTCATTTATTTGAAACCACAGTTTATTTGAGAAACAACTATATTCCTTGAGTTATAAACTAATTTTCTGGAAATACCCTTCCTTTCTTGACTGGCCACAGTATCTCTTATCTTATGGTAAGATAGAAGAACTGAACAGGGAAATGTCTAGAATATAATTATGGAATTTCTCCCCTGCTTTTCTGTTCAACAGTCAGACAGTGCCTCTGAGGCCCAAATCAGCCAAATGGTCTAGAAAGCTATCTTGGTCACTGAGAAATCTGGAACTATTAGAATCACATGTTCCCAATCTAGCTTTCTGCATAGGTCATCTACTAAATTGACTAAAGCAGTTTTGGTAGCATATCCCACATGAAATCTTGATTGAATTGGGTCCAGAAAATCCACACCCAGTACAGGCAATTTGATATTTAGAGCTGTGAGGAAGTATCTGGATAGACATAATATTACCAAATGATCTCTCTTTAATTTGTTTCAGCTCAGTTATCCTTTTCCAAAGAATTGTACTTTGGATGGTGATGGCTGTGGATGTTTTAAACCTAAGACCTTTTCATGGAGGGATCTATCCAGCAGAAGTATTATCTTACAGCAGAGAGTTCCAGGAGTGAATCCCATGCTACGTGGAGAATGCCAGTCAGTTTTTATTTAGTGCATTGAGGAAAAGTAGAAAAAAAACTGCATTTATTTGCCTCAGTCATGTGATGCACCATTTTTTAAACCCACTATCTCCTCCTTTACAACCTCACCCTGCCCAGCCATTAATTTTCTGCTTTTCTGGATTTTTCTCTACCATGTTAACTTGGTTCATGTGTTGATTATCTCTGTAGGCCTTTTTCATGTTTGTGTGTACTCTGTGTGTGTGTGTGTGTGTGAATTTAGCTAACTGAAAGAACTTGAGTTTACTGAACAGGATAAGAACTAATGTAATATTTTCTTTCTTTTCTGCAAGCCATGTAATTCCCATAGGAAACAGGCAACTATATTCTCAAAACAAGTTCCCTTACTTCGAATCCATTCCCCTCTGCCTCCCTGATCTCTGCATTCATTAATTATGAAAATATCATTGTTAATACTATAATGGATATTATATTCATTCTGTTTAATTGTTGTCTTTCTCTATTTTGGACATTTTATTTTTCAGGCAATTTATATCCCTTTTAAAAAATGAGACGCTCTTTAGTTCCCACAGTGTCATTCAAAGAATGACTCATATTCCTTATATTAATTGTTCAGTTCTCAAAATATAGCACATGCTGGGTGTGGCTGCAAGGGGAAAATCTACTGTACTTATAGGGCATGTTGGGAAGTGTTTCACATAGACATGATTTTTTTCTTTTTCTTTTGCAAAACATTAACCCTTTTTTGCCATTTTTGAAAATGGGGCACTATTTTTCAGCAAGACTGCAATAGGTCTTTCTTAACACAGCCAGAGTTTCAGCCACAAACAACTACTGTCAAAGCAGATGGAGCTGCAGGTGAAATTATAAGCATCATCCTGTGTCCTTCAAGGGTTTTACTCATGTTACTAGAATCGTAGGAGAGACGCAGGAAATACCCTAACAGAATTTTCCTTGTGAGAGGAGCCTTCTCTAAACCTTGAATAGGACAACAGAGGAAGATAGATATGTCAGACTTTTCCTGGAGGCTGAATTTAAGATCAAAATAAATGCTGAGGCTTTTCTTTGCAGAAGCAAAATCAAAATTATACTTTTCTTTTTTAAGTGGGAAAACATCTTGAGAGAAGGAGCAGTTTGGTTCGTGACAATGGATTAGATGAAAAAGATTAAACGTCGTCCCCTGCCTCTACAATTGTGATCAAACTGAGAGCTCAAAATTGCATTAAAATCATAATACGGTACAAAACTACCATGTGGCATTCAGATGTTTTCCCCATGTTATGATTAGTTTAATCATTGCAGGGATAACATCCAGCCGTATAAAACACTTATCTCCTGCAGTTTTAAGTGGTACAACTCAGATACAGGTTAACCGTCTTGGTGACAGCCACACCATAAGTTTCAAAAGTGTTTGCCATGTGGCGCAGCTGAGGTTTGGTGAAAAACAGTAAGACCACTCTCACACTTCTATCTCCAGATGTGCAGACTGAATTCTGTCGTTATTCAGATTTGAGGAACTGATTTTCATCCACGTAAGAACTGTTGAATATGCCTTTGGTGTGATAACTTCAAACACAAGACATTTGTTGCAGCAGTCGCTACAGATGCTATACTTGCTTTTGTGTTGAGTTCCTTCTGAATGCCTTCAGTTGGTTGTATTATGGTATTGATTTGCTCCCTGCCTCCCCCATAGTGCCAGCATGACAAATAACATCAGGCTGAGAGAATGATCTTGGAGTGATCAGAGATGATGGGTGGCCAGGGTAGAATAATGCCAGTCTAATGCCAGAATAGTAGAGCGCTTAAATAGGAACCAGAAGGTAAGGTGATGCATTAATGGCATCTTCTCTTTCTTGTCCTGAATGAAATGCAACAAGCACTGATATTTATGTCCATGTGTACTTCAGATACACAGACAGATTTACCTGGCTCACACAGCATTCTAAGACATGGTATGATTAGGCTTATGACGAGGTTTAAAACCAAAACCATGGATTAATTTGTAGTTAAAATGGAGTCCCTTAACCCTCATGGATTATACTCATGATTTGGTTTTAGTTTGTGTGCCTTAACCATGGTGTGAGCACCACTGAAATCTCATCTCGGGCAATTACTGTCCGTAAGTGAGGAGTGAATATCAGCCCCATGGAGTTGGTCATTGTTTGTTCCCCAGATGTGTGTGTACCAGATGTACAGTATGTGTGGGGTGTGGTGGTTCATGATGTTTTCGCAGCCATAGTAATATCTGGGGTATTGGCAGATAGGAATGCAAGTGGCAAACTTCTGCTGGCATAAGAATACTGACGCAGCACCGGTGGGTGCATCTTTCCAATGTTTTCACTTAGCAGTCTTGATACGAATCTGAGGATAACATAGTTTTACAGTATTCCGTAGACAATAATGGGAATCTTAAGAGAATCATCTACCGCACCATCCAATTCTTCAGTAATAATTGATGAAGTATGCTGCTGACTATTTTATAAACTTCTGATTATATGTCATAATTTGAGCCATGTAGACACCAAGCATTTCCCAACAGTTTCTTAGTATGACTCTGGAGTCAAGTTTATGGACCATGCTTATTTGTGGTTCAGCTTAATAGCTTAAAAATGTGCAGCCAAAGAGTATTGCTAGTGATGCAGAAAGTGTTTCACAGAAGCAAGCATGTTTCTCCTCAGATCTGCTTGTTTGCATCTGAACCTATAATGAAGAACACCAGCATAGTGTAACATTTGGATGAAGTAAAATAAAATAATGAATTTATACTTCAAAAACTGGTATTGGGGTTTTCGTTTTTGTTTTTTGGTTAGGAGGAAAAACTGTTCACCAAGGTGTCTGAATATTTTCAAGATAGAAAATGCCAGAGTTCCCTGACTCAACAGGAAAAACAAGATACTCTGAAAAAATTGTAAGTGCTCTTCCCACACACCCCACAGCATGCACTTTTTATTTGACCAAGATGTGAATACAGAATTTAATACTGTCAAAGCAGCTGTCTCCTTCTCCCGTGTTCACTCCACAAGTATGCGGGGGTAAAGTTAACATTGCATAAAATCAAACAGTCTAAAAATAAAGGTTCACTGGAACCTGCAGCAAAAAGAAATTATAATGGAAGTGAGGGAGAGAATTGGTCTCAGAAAAAAGTAACACATACTTTGGTATTCCCAATGATGCTAATTTGCTTTTTAGAAAGATGAACCTAATTTTGTTGGGTAAAAGATAGATCTAACAAAAACAATTGTTTTAAGAAAAAGGGGACTGGGATCTAATTGGTCCAGCTCCCCTTTTTTTTCAATACCTGCTGGAGGGATAGCTTGTAACCTTGTCTGAAACAATTGTTCTGAGTACTAAAGGTGAATTACTTTCATATTAAGTGCTGATTCCACCGCTGCCACCCCCATGGCCAAATTTCTCTTTCTACACGGTCACTAAATTGTAAGTAGGAGACAAGAGGGGATATCAGATATTTTTAAAAAAATCTTACTACTATATTTTGTAGATTTCAACAGGTTGTATTTCCTTCCAAAGAACTGATTTGATTGAATGTTGACTTCATAAAAATCAATATTTTCCAAGATGTAAGAAAATTGGCACTCTTCTTCTGTAATGGAAGATTTACTCTCTAGGCCCAGCTAGATGGTAGCGCTTGTCCAAAATTGTCCGATCCCAAAAACTTAAGCAGTCTCAGACCTAGTCAGTATTTGGATGGGAGACCACCAGAAAATGCCAGGGCTATAGATTAGTCTGAGAAATTTAAATAAATCTCTGTGCTATAACAATATTTATTATTTTTAGACTTCAAAGTAGAAAAACCACTAATCATATGCAGAAAGGTAACACATCCAAATACACAAGTTTGAATTTGGTGAGGAGGGAGGTAGAAACTTGTTCTTCCTATGGAAGCATTTTTGCTGTTGGCAGTCTGATTGTCTTTATCCTGCCAGCTTTCTAACGTTTAGGCTATTGGGATAGTCTTCCTTATCCTAACCTTCCTGTGCTGGTGGATTCCATCAGCCACGCTGATACAGCTAGGCCACCGGTGGCTCAGGATTCCATGTCCATCCTGGGCTTGTCTCTTTAATTATCTAATGCTATATTATGGACATAATGCTAGACATTTAAGATATTGAGGAGAAACTCTATAGGTGGCTATACCATTCAAGGCCCATCTGTCACGTAGGCAGAAGGGGACTTTCTCCTATACCACTTGTAAACTGAGGAATGCATTCCTCCAGGAGTTCCGCTTAGCCCCTGGGCTTTCTGTTGTTAGAACAAGGGGTAAGGCACACCTTGACAACAGAGCTTTTGAAACATTTTAATGATTTGAGGTGTTACAGCAGCTCTGTTTTTGAGTAAGTCTTAATTACTTTGTTTTTAATATACAATTTTCTAGTTTTGATTTTAGAGTGTTGTAAGCTATCTTGATTATCCTGGTTAGATGGAAAGTTTGGATGTAAATCAAATGAATAATAAAAGCAGTAGTAATAATTATATAGAATAAAATGGGGTCCTTTTATCGTTTGGAAATAGATGAGAGTCTTTTCGGCTGAAGAAAAGACTGCACAGTCCTTCTATTTCAGTATATCTTGGTTGAAAATAAGGCTTTTTGCAGCTGGAGCAATGTTAGCCTTGGAGCTGGAGTCTTGCTCTAGCTTAGAAATAACCAATTTATTATGACATAAGCTTTCATTGATTAGAAATTTTCTGTGATAAATTCTTTAATCTTTGAGGTTTTTCAAGACTTCTGTGTTGATCTTTGCAGCAAAAAACATTAAACTGATTTAAACTTCAGCTCTAATTATGGACTTCACACAAAGACCTTTATTTCATTTCTGGGAAAGCTAATCTCACAATTCAAGATCCAGAGCATTGTTCGTTTGGCTCTGCCTGCGGTTAACACTTAGGCTGCTTAAAGTTTAGTTGTGTGGAACAGATGGTGCTATTTAACTTCATATTGCTTGAGATGTTTCTTTTTCTACTGCTGCTCCCTGAACAAACACCCAGCTTCTCAACTTTCTCATTTTCTAAACTTTGCATCATTGGATATTATCACAGTTTCTTATGGGTCCTTCTGGTGTATATAAAAGGGAGTCTGAGTGAACAAATCACACCAAAATGGGATACTTGTTTCATTCATTCAAGTTATCCAATATGCAATGAGCCACTGTGAAAAGGTATACCCCTTAGATTCAGTAACTGATCACACAGCCTATAATCAGTCTCTTATATGGCTGTGGGAAATTTGGCCCATTCCGCCATGGCAAAAGGCTTCAACTTAATAGCACTTTAGGAAGTTTCTAACATATTGACAGCCATTTAGCCCCCAAAGTTCCACTTTTGACTCATCTGTCCGTAGAATATTCCTACAGAAGTCTGGAGAGTTATCCAGGTGGTTTTTAACAAATTTGAGATGAGCATCAATGTTCTTTGTAGGAGCAATCAATGGCTTCTTTTTCTTCCATGAATTCCATTTTTATCCATCACTTTTCTGATGGTAGAGTCATGATGATTGAAGCTACCTAAGGCCAGAGAGTTCTGCAGATCTATCAGTGTTCTTCTGGGATTTGTTGTGACCTTGTAGACAACTTAATCCTGCACTCTTGCAGGGTTTTTGACCCAATGACCACTCTTGGGAAGATTCACTATTGTGCCTAATCTTCTCCACCTCAAGACTTTGTTTCTAACTGTGGAACAGTGGAGACCCAGAGTTTTAAAAATAGCTTTTCAATCTTTTCCAAACTCTTAGGCATTAATGGCTTTTTATAGAGGTCTTCAGAAATTTCTTTTGGACAGGGCATGATGTGCCTGTAGAATCTGTGCCGAGAACTTCACAGGCATAAGGAGAACCAGGCTTTGTGAGATTTATGTAGGGTGAGACTGCCCCAGATAAGGAGATGGCTTATAGCCTAAGCAAGTATCCACTCCAAGGAGCTACTGCAGGTGGTCCTGTGGTATGACAATAATTTTATTGTGTATTTAGTCTCTGTTAGGCTTGTAGTTGAAAGATGCATGTTAAACTTGTAAATAAATACAGTAGAGTCTCGTTTAACCGACCTTCGCTTATCTGACATTCCGTCTTATCTGATGCCCCTAAAAAAAACACAACAACACGCATAAATCGGCAACAAGAAAAGTGTGCCACTTGTTTGCAAGCATGAGTGTACTCTTTCTTGTTGCTCCTGATGGTGTGGTGCCACAACGCAAAAATCGATTGCAACAGGCGCAGCGGATCGGTTTTGTTTTTTTGTTTTTGTTTTTTTTACCGCACTCAGTCGTTACTGAGTATTATCCGACATTTTCGCTTATCCAACGTTCTGCTGGCCCGTTTATGTCGGATAAGCGAGACTCTACTGTACATACATCTCTAATATAAAATCAAGTTATTATAATATGTGTATCTTTTATAGTTTGACATATGCTGTGAGAATGGAATGCTAAATACCCTAGAGCAGTGTTTCTTAACCTTCGCAAGTTTAAGATGGGTGGACTTCAACTCCCAGAAGTAAAGATGGCTGGGGAATTCTGGGAGTTGAAGTCCACACATCTTAAACTTGCCAAGATTGAGAAACACTTCCCTAGAGTATCAAGGTGTTGAAAAAAGCATCCACCCCACTAAACTGAAAGCAAGTTTCCTCTTGTGAACATTTGCACATCTTGCTTTGCTGGAAGCCATCACCTCTTTCTAAGGGAAGCATTTCAAGATGACATACATTGTGGGTTGTAACATCTGCATGAAATATCAATCTGTCCTGTGGATTTAAATTTTTACTCCTTACAGAGCTCATTGTTTTACTAAATATCACTTCCCTCAGTACAGATGGATACCTCTTAATCGGATGAATAATGGACAAGAGTCGCCAGGATCATTTTAACATTTCCAGTAGTGGAGATGCTCCAAATGTCTAGAAACAAAGAAGTGAAGGTGTATTAAGACATCTGCATTATGAAAGTAAAATGGTTTTTACTGTTATTTTTATTATTTAGAGTGAAGAGGGCAACACCAGCTAATGAAAGGGAACCTCAGCCCAGCAAGGACACCATGAAAGTATATCTTGGCTCCCCGGGCTCAGACAGGGAGTAGGAAGAATGCATTTTCGATGCTCAGCCTGAAGGAAAATGTAGGCGTAAAGCACAACCAAAAGATTGCATAAATACAGCTGAGCGCAGTTTGGGACTTCCTGTTTCAGAATGGGCAATGATGCGAACTGGAGACAGCCAAGCAATGCTAACAGCCAGCAAAAACTTCATTTGTGGAGTGGTTAGACCTGACTTCTCTGCAGGAACCCTCAGTGGTGCTATGAGTCAGCACGGCCACATCCAAACCGAAGTCAAAGGGTGACTGAAAGAGCTGAAATAGCGCGCTGAGCATACAGGAGGAAGAGAGACGTCTCCAAGGCAGGATCACCCGGTTGCCAGATGCAGAGCCCTACTGGTGGTTCAGAGCCCTCTTCTGGAGAAGTCCCCACCTAATCCCACATCGTTTTCCAAATGAGGCTTGGCAGGATTCACGTCTGATGGAGAATTGCTTACTTAAAGAAAAACCTCCCCCTGAGACTGGTTTTATGAGAAGTGCTACAGCCATCGTGCAGACAGACCCAATCCAACCACAGTCACCAAATAATCCTTAATGTTTCACTCCCAAAATATGCCAAGCCAGGAGAGAAAAGGTTTGAGAGGGAGGCAGAGAGATTCAAAAACAGGGCTGAAGGGAAAAAGATGAAATCCAAAAGATAAGGCACAGAAAATCAGTCCCTTCCTCGTGCTACTTTATCCCTTAACTTATGTCCTGTGTAATGAACTGATAGTCTTTGCTCAAGTTGTGAAAGTAATTCCTGAACCAATTAAGAACAGAAAATAGTCTGAGATTTTAGTGACCCTGAAATAAACAGGATTCAGGTTCCATTGCACTCTGCAATAGCTCCATAGCACGCACCCCTTGAATCCTTATGTTGTGAGGAATCATTCTGAGTTCTCTTTTCTTGGCATATGATTGGCTGACTTGAAGTTTCCCCATCACATATCAGAAATCTGTTATATGGTCCTTTGTCTGCCTAGCTGTTTATAATCCTGTTTTCATTGAATATTATAATGGGAAATAAATGTGTTTTTGCACATCTTTTTCTTTGGTGTCTTGTCTGATAAATCACTTTCCATGTTGAGAACTTCTTTTGAAGAAATGGCGTATGCGTAGGTAAATAAATCTTCACAATGTGCAAAATGGAAAAAGAATGTGAGTCAAAGAGTAAAGAATCAAACCACATTTGTGCCTCAAATCCACATAAATGGCCTTTTTGCTAGCTATCCATTTGAGGTTATCAGCTTTGCTGTTCCATTGACTCATTTTTCCTGTTGCAATGAATGTTGATGAGGAAATTAAACTGCATCAGAATTGCTTCAAGCAGGCTTAGCACCTTAATAGCCACGAAGCTAATTGTCTAGGACAATTAATTCTAGCAATAATATCCTTGCTTTGTTTGTTACACATGCACATTTCTTTTTACTCTTCCTTAAAGAAGCATAGGAGAACATTGTCTCCTGATATAATCTCACAACAGCCCTGTACAGTAGGCCAGACAGAAAGAAAACAAATGCCCCAAGATAAGTGAATTTTAGAGGTAGTGGAATTTTAGATCCAGATATTCACTGTCCTCTTCAGTACTGCAAACACACCACCACCCAGTGAATATCAAAATATCCCTTAAAAAAAAAAAAATCACTATACTTGTTTCAGTACAATAATTTAATATTGTTTAAGGTTTGTTGTATAGACTGTTACAAATGCAATCCTGTGATACTGAAGATCTTATTTATTTTGCATTTAGGTTAAAACAGTATTGATACTATTTTAAGTAAATAAACATCACTGTAGATCCCTCCCGACCTGTTTTAAAATTCCTTTTGTCCCATTAAGAGATTCTCTATGCAGTTGTCAAGATTCATTTACTGGTTTTATTTTATGAGCCTTAGCATGTTTGAGCAAGCAAAACTGAAATACTTCAGCATTAGTTTCTTAAATAGTTCAAACCCTTTCCATTTACACAAGGAAAACAGTACTTACAGAAGTACTTCCTTATAGAAGGAAAATGATCTCTCTTTCATATACATTACTAATCCAAATATATGATCAAGGATATAGTTGAATCTACTTTCTGGCAAAAATCTATTCAAGCTTCACTTTCATTGATCAAATGAAAGACGTATGTGCATTATAAAGCTTAAGAAAGTAATGAATCAGTAAAATAAATGATTGATTTAAAATGTACTGATACATGTTGATAAGTTATTTTAAAATAAATTAGGCTAAAACAGAAATTCAGAAACAGCACTCAGGTCCTTATTAGCTTTCAGAAAGGTTCAGCAATACTACAACGGCAGCATACAAATGAATTATCTGTCTCTTCTGTCCAAAATTGGAACACGGGTGGCATAATCTAGCAAGATTTATGACCATTGTGAAAGAAAGTGTTAGTGGGATAATACAGTATTTAAAGTTTGCAAGATCCCACCAGTTTAATACAGTAGTCTACTTTTATGGGTCTGGTTTTGTTACCTTAGCCATCAAATACAGATGCTTCATCCAATTATCCTTCCATAAATGCTACCCCTCCTTTACAACTAAACTCTGAATTTATCAAAACTCTTTTTCTTTGTTCTTTTTTAAATCCTGTAGTTCTCCTTATCTCCATGGTACCAATTCATGTCCTTGACTCTTATCACCAGTTTTATTGGAGGTTTAAAAAAATGGTAAGAAACAAAACTTGTTATTGATTCTGACTATAGCAAGTTTCATTGTAGTGGAGTAATAGTCCTTTATTCAAAAATATTGACGTGAGATTAAAGAAATTATAAGCATTTTAGATATGACTGTCAAAAATAATGAAGACCACAAAAGCCACTTGGTGCTCTCTCTTCATCTTGCCAAGTATTTGTGTAATCTCACCTGGCAAGTAAATGCAGTTAGAGAAACCCACATTTTGGCCCTTTACTGAGGAACAGCATGGGAATACTTGGGTTTCTTCCAAGGCCTTAACATCATGCCTTTCCCAAAACATAGCAGCTCTTCCGAGCATTATTGGGTTGGGAAACAGATCCTGGCTTGCTGGGCCACCATTTTTCAAAATGATATCAAGGAAGTCAAAGGTTTAGGGATCTCATACAAGGAGAGAATGACAATAGACGGTTTTCCATAGCATTAGGGCAAGTCTAGGTACGTAGAGGTTGTAGTACAGCAGGTGGGTTTGCATAGCTAAGTATGTTGGAATACAGAGCAGTTAAATGGATGAGATCAGCTTTGGATGGGGAAAAGAGAGCTGTGAACGTACTTAGTAGGGGGAAAAAAACACCCAGTCTAGAAACCTCAACATAGATGAGTGGACATGCATGGGTAACCATTATGGAATGCTCCATTGTGGTGGTCCAGATGTTTCTACAAGACAAGGGTCTGACAGAGAACTAAAGTTTTATTTTGTTGCAGGTCAGTGCCTTCTGAACTTCAGTTTGGCACTAAAAACCCTTAGGCTTCCAGTGCAAGCATAATCTCTGTGCTTGCAGGCAATTGTGATTCCAAACTGATTCTGGCTTAGTCTTGGCAAATTGAGAGTAGCAGCATGTGTGTGAAGAAAAACACTTTCTAAGAACATTTTCTGCAGCAGTTTGCCATTCTTTTATACATCAAGAACTATTAATGGATAGATATCAGAACAATAGTATAATATTGTTTCTGGAACATCTTGAGGAGTCCAGATCTAGAATTAAATAGTTTGAAAGAACTGCCAAGCTCAAAGACTCCTGCAAGAATAAGCAGCTGACGAGTACAGAAGCTTTCATATCCCTTCACCCCATTTTCTAGTAGTGGGGTTGCCATATTGCTCCCATTCATTTTATTGTGGCTGGTTGAAGAGGTTCCCTGGGCAATAACACTGACTTAGCTGTAATTTATTTTATTACAAACATTTGTAGGCTACCTGATTTGCCAGACCGTTGATATCTAAACTATTATTAATTATAAACGACAGTTTTTGAACTGTTCCATAATCAGAGAAGTTGAGGGTGGCACCATTGCCGGAGAAAATGCCTGAACCGTAATCTCATTTATTTCAATCAATAACATGGATTAGAATCCCTTTTTCCTCCCTTTAAATGCTCTTTGGAAAGACTTTCCCAATCTTGGCAGACACCCAATTTGAGTGACTTGCTGTGGAGTCTGTAGTGGGGGGTTTCTTTGCTCTGAGTCCAGAGAAAACTTTGCTCCTGGTTATGCTGGTGAACCCGTCTGCGTACGGAGACGCCATTTCAAAATTTAGTGTGGAAAGAAAAACATCTCAAAGTGTTAGGGGTGGGGAAAATCTTTGCAGAATATTACTGGGCTGCTCTTGGCAAAATCAGTCAACAGTGTGGGAGAAGAAAACTTGCTGGAACACAAGAACATCAGAAGAGTCTTGCTGGGTCAGGTCAGAGGTCCCACTAGATCAACATTCTGCGCCCACAGTGGTGAAAGGAATGCCAGTAGGAGGACCTAGCTATATGATCAATACAGGCCATCAGCCTCTTTCCTTTTCTCTTTTTTTTAAAAACCAACAGAATTTATGAATTTAACACATCTGCTTTGTATTTAAAAACCATGTCATTGTTTCCAAAAACTGTCCCTCTTGTAAGATGATGTGGTTTCTCCAAAATATATGGAGAATATATTTTGTCCATAGTCTTCATTCATTTGCACGTTATGGGCCTGAGCATGTGCAGAGTTCCATCCAGGAGCTGGCTAAAAATTGGAGGAGCTCCTCTCTCGCCCACTACAGCTAGGAATTTTCACAAAAGAAAGAATTCACAAAGGATGAGCTTCATGTCTTAAAATTGTGTTACCATAAAATGTTCTGTCTTCTCGGTTTTTATACATAGTTTGCATTTTTAAATCCATTACCGTGAGGCGCCTCTGACCCAAGATAGCTCCTTTTCCCATTAGCACTGCTGTTATAGCAGCAAGTTCCACCCTCTGAAGGAAGGTTCTGTAGTTATTGTCTAAATCAGTGTTTCTCAACTTTGGCAACTTTAAGATGAGTGGACTTCTGGGAGTTGAAGTCCACTCACCTTAAAGTTGCCAAGGTTGAGAAACATTGGTCTAAATTATCCAGAGGGCTTCATGCTTTCCTGGGGAGGAAGATATCAAAGTCGTGGATTAGCAAATTTGAGTCCCCAGCAATCTCCTGCTCCATGCCAGCTTTGTCATCAAACAGCATCACAGTGAATCAGGAGGCAGCTATTGTGTTCTCAAATCAGAC